CCCTTCTAGAGGGTTCGGTCGAAATGCTCCTGCCTGGCAGTGCATGACGACCTGATTGGGCCGCACAGCAGCTTTTGCGTCAGCGCTGGCAGGTGCGTTGCTCCGGGTCAGGTTTTGTGCGGAGGAAATTCGAATCGCGGCAAGTTTCGCCGTGATTCCATGCACAGTCCCATGCGCATGTCACATCTTTGTATTCGCCTTAATGAGCTTCAATTTAGTACCTTCATATTTGAACATTTTTGACTTTATAAAAGCGCAGGCGCTTATGGCCGTTACTCAATTACAACCGCCCCCCTTAAAAAAATGATTTTGTTATAAGCGCATAAGCGCCACTATTTGGGGCCATACGGTACAGTAAACAATGAATAGATTGAAAAAAAATCAAACAGATACCATGTACAAGCAAACGGGGACACTGACGTAGATACAGCTAGCCACTCATGATTGGAGTTACAAACCATTCAGTGTTGAGAGCACCTGCAGCAGCAGTCTCTCATTGAGTGGCTTCTGCACGGCTCCATCCATGCCAGCCTCGGTGGCACGAGCGGCAACAGTGCAGTCTACATCTGCTGACATGGCCACCACATGAATTCGTTGCCGCTGCTGCCAGCCCCTCTCCATGGCCTCCACACTGGTATGCGATGCACGTCTTGGGCCGCCTGGGCGGCGGCCTCGAATGCGCGCAGGCGGGCGGTGGTGTGGAAGCCGTCGAGGCCGGGCATAAGGAGGTCCATGACCACGAGGCGGAAGGAGTGGCACGCCTGCAGCAGGCGCAGCGCCGCCTCGCCCGACTCTGCCAGCGCCACCTCCGCCCCGTACCGCGCCAGCGTGATCGCTGCCACCCGCCGGTTGATCATGTTGTCGTCCACCACCTGGGGCAGCACAGGGGGGGTGAAATGAATGGATGAAAATGGCGTTACCCGCTGCTGCCACCCGCCGGTTGATCACATTGTCGTCTACCACCTGTGTGATAAGAGGGGTGCGGGGGTATAGGGGGGTGCAGAGGGGTGAGAATAGAGGGGCGCAGATGGCGCTGCCTACCACCACCTGGCCCGCACAGGGGGGTACGGGGGGGTTGAGAGTGGTGAGAACAAAGGGACGGTTGATGGGTTGTCCTCCACCACATGGCCAGGTAGAGCGCAGGGACATCCAAGGGAGGTGGAGAGGGGTGAAGAACGGACGGACAGAGATGACATGCGCGTTGTCACAGTGTGGTGAGGTGAAGGGACGACGGAAGTGGGTTGCCGGGAGTGTGGCGAGGAGACCAAGGGGTAGGTTGGGGAAGTGTTGGTGAGGAGTGACAAACAGGAAGAAATGGAAGCATGCTGAGGCTAGTCTGCATTGCGTGGTGGAGAATCGGTGTCCTGGTCTAGATTGGGTCGTCTCCGAACGCATTGCCTTGCAACTCACCAGAATCGCCTTGCCCTGGAGCAACTCCTTCAAGCTATCCCTCGCACTCTTCGTCTTCACGCCCTTTGTTTCGTCGCCAGCAGTAGAGGAAGAAACAGCACAAGTGGTCGCTGGCTCAGAAACATCGGCGCTGGCTGGAGAAGAGTCACCTTCGTCAGCTGCAGCAGCAGCGGCAGTGGCAGCGGCAGTGGCAAGCGCAACAGGCATGGGCAGAGCGACATGCAGAGTGGTGCCGTGACCCTCTGTGCTGAGCAACCCAATGCTGCCACCCATGAGCGATACCTGCCACGGGGAGGAGGTGTTGGGGGTGTATGGTTGTTTGTGAGTGTGATACATCACCAGGTATGAGGTGAATGAGTGTGAATGAGGGTGAATGTGGGTGAATATGGGTGAATGTGGGTGAATGTGGGTGAATGTGGCAGAGGTATGAGATAGAGGGAGAGTTGGAAGCAAAAAACACATCAAGTGTTGAAGGACCTAGCAACTGTAGAAACAAACAACTCACCAGCTGCCCAAAAAAAAACATCAGCTGCCCCCCCCAAAAAAAGAAACCACCAGCTGACAAAAAAGGCCGACTGACTGCCAGAGGAGACTCACAAGCTGGCGACACAAGTGCAGGCTCATGCCGCTGCCTCCGTGCTTTCAGGTCTGAATGGGTGGATGGGCGGTGTGAGACGCACGAGAATGCAAGCAGTCAGTGTGCTAAAGACTAGCACGTGGATGGAAGGCCGCGATACTCAGCCGATGATTGTGTGAGGTGAAACATTGCTTTTACATTGCATCCTTGCTTCGAGTGCACTGCTTGCTTCACCTGCATCAGCCGCATGACATCAGCAGCATAAGGGGCACAGCTCACCTGCATGAACGCCTTAGTGCCTCTACGCACATACTCAGAGCTCACCTGCATGAGGGGCAGGGCTCACCTGCATGAGGGGCAGGGCTCACCTGCATGAACGCCTGAAACACGTCGCGCTGCTCCTCCTCTGCGATGCCACACCCCGTGTCCTCACATGTCAGCAGCACCACACACTGCCTCTCAGCATCCTCCTCCACCCCTGTGCACTCTCCTCTGCCCCGCCCGCACCACCACGTCTCCACTGCTCCCCTCCACCAGCCCACACCACCACCCCGTGGTGCTGTCCTCCCTGCTTCACTCACAGCATCCTCCCCATGCGCTCTTGTTCCTGCACAATAGGACATGACCCCACTCCCCTACGCCCACCCTCCTCCTCATCTCCCGCACCCAAGGATGCAGCACTACCCCTGCCTTCACTCAACTCAATGCACACCCTCTCGCCTCTGCTTCCGCCTCCCACCACCCTCTCGCCCCACACGCTTACCCTCTCCTCCCCCTCCTCCCTCTCCTCCCCCTCCTCTCCCCCCCTTCCCCTCGCTCTCCCCCTTCCCCTCGTTCTCCTCCTGCTCCGGCCCCCCCTCCTGCACCTGGGGCATGCGCCAGTAGCACCCAAGGCACTGCACAGACAAGCTTCTCTGGAGCACCCGTTTATTGCATGCGCCCGTCACCGCCCTCGCCAGCCCTTGCTGCCCCACCTGCTCCCAGAACGACATCTTAAGAAGTGGTTATCCCACTTCGTTCCGATGCACAGCCGCACTGGCAACATCAGCAGTGGTAACAACAGCAGCGGCAGCATCAAGGTTGTCAGCAGCAGCAGCAGCAGCAGGCAAGGAGCAGCCGGGGGTGGGTTGAGCGAGGAAGCAGCCGAGGGAGAGCAGGTGGGTGAGGATGTGGGTGTACGGGGGAAGGCACTGCAGCCGCACACACACGCTTCCGCTGGCCGTGAAATTTATGGCGTTGTCTGGGGGGGGGCAGTTCGCAGAACGAATAGTGGAGAATGGTGAAGTGAAGGTGAATGGGGTGTAGTGCATCAGAAGTCCAATTTGTCGGCTCACTGAGGTGAATTGCGGGAGTCTGTTCAGACCAAAGGAGAGAAATTCGTTCAGACCACAAAAATTCGCTCGTTACGGTTTGATGGGCTCGCCTACAAAGTACGAGACACAGGTCGGGTCAGCTGCTGGCTCGGCTCGTCAGCCTGCCTCGCTGGCTCGTTATGCCTTGAAACACACAGGCTGGAATTGACCTATGCTCATGCCTAGTGTGCGACTGGGTGTTGGATACCTCGTAAGCGAGCCTAATCAATGGTGGCTCGGGTAGATGTGGGCACCATGTGTGGGCAGCTCAAGTAAACTCTAGTGCTTTGTTGAGTCTCAGTTCCAACCACTCTTGCGAGCCAGAAACCTGGACGTGAGTGGCGCTAATGGCGCCTCATTACGAAAGGAGTTTCTTGTGAAACTGAGGCAGTGGACTTCAGATCAGAATCAAACATTGACTACTCTTGCACAAAAACCCTTCCCGCGAGTCAGCCATGGCTCAAGGCAAAATGTGGACTGTCGAGTTGGCCAAAACGTGGACTGTAGAGTTGGGCAGAATGTGGACTGTCGAGTTGGCCAAAACGTGGACTGTCGAGTTGGGCAAAATGTGGATTGTCGAGTTGGCCAAAACGTGGACTGTCGAGTTGGCCAAAATGTGGACTGTCGAGTTGGCCAAAACGTGGACTGTCGAGTTGGCCAAAACGTGGACTGTCGAGTTGAGCAAAATGTGTCGAGTTGGGCGAGGGTCAACGTTGGCTCAACTCTACTCAACTCAACCGGGGGCCGACTCAACTCGCCTCATCCTCATGTGCAAGCAAACCCATCCAACCTTATCCACACCTAGAGCTGGCCATTGAATAATAATTGGGCTGTTCCATGTTAGAATCTCAGCCACTACACTGCTGGGATAAAATGGCTTGTTAAGTAGCAAATGAGTGCGCCCATAACCCCCCATGCAAGCGTGCTTGTAACCCTTCCATATGATCCCTAGTGCACGTCTTCTTACACCCATTCACTGAAATGTTCTAAGGCACGGCACAGCGGCAAGGACACATGGGGCGCCAACATGTGTGCACATGGGAACTCGAACTCAAGATTTTCGCTCTGATACCATGTCAGAATCTCAATCACTACACCATTGGGATAAGGGTCTGTAAAGTAGCGGGTGAGTGTGCCCATAATTCCCAAAGCAATCATGTCTGTAGCTCTTCTCTAGGATCAATCGGGGATCCCCAGTGCAGATATTTTGACAATCTACTCACCGACTATTTTGTCGACCACTTGCTGCAGGCACAAGTAGTCCCCCACTAGCACACTGGGCACATCCCCATCCACATGCCATGTGACTGAAAACGCACACACCCACATGCACACGCAGGAAAATCAGGCCAACATGAGAAACGCAAGCAGAAATAGGCGATCTGTGTGAAGCGATTAGAATTCTCACAGCAGCATTCAGAGATTAGAATGTGAAGACTCACAGGTCGCGTTAACATGAGCACAGAGCAGTGAATGATTGTGATTGTATCAGCTGAGTGGATCTTACTTCACCAACGGGATTACAACCTTCAGAACAAGGAGACATCGAAAGGAAGAAAACTCTTTGCTTGACGTTTTGAGACGGCTCTTTCTCGCAGGAAACTCAGGCCCCTCATGGGCACTCATGGCCACTCATCATGCCCACTCCTGCCCACTCGTAGTCACCCATGCACCTTATTGCCACGAACCTTCCATGCCAAAGATTGGGGTGCGCAGCTCAAGCGATGTGTTGGCGATGTGTTGGCGATGTGTGCACCCTTGTTGCGCTCCGCCACCTCCGCCTTCTCCTTCAGAATCGCCATAGAAATAGTCTTCTCGCGCAGCCTCCGCATGTTGATCGTCACGCTCACGCCAATGGCAGCCAGCAGTGCCGCCACCACAAGGATGATCACCCCCAGGAACACAGCAGTCATGCTGTGGGCTTCGTCCGAGCCCTGAAAGCTAGGGGTTAGGGGAGGCGAATTAGGGGCAATGGGAGCAGATGGAATTGATGTTGATTGAATAGGACGCATTCCATATCGAGTGCATTCCATATTGAGCATATTCCATATTGAGTGCATTCCATATTGAGTGCATTCCATACTGAGTGCCCTTATCGAGTGCATTCCATATCAAGTGCATTCCATTGGGTCTTGAAAGACTGGAAGTGCATTAGGTGCAACATGGGCAAAGAGTGGTTTTGATTCGCCTAAAGAAGCTCTGTGACGTAGGATTGACACGACGAGCCGTCATCAAAGGGAGACGGCGAGAAAGGGGAAGTTGAAGGGAGCGATTATAATGGAAGAGCAGCGCGTCCCTAGAAGCGACTCACTGGCACCGCCAGCGCTGGTAGCTCCGTGATGGATTGGTAGTTGTGAGGAGGGTTGTGAGCGGGAGGGTTGTGAGCGGGAGGGTTGTGAGCAGGAGGGTTGTGAGTGGGAGGGTTGTGAGCGGGAGGGTTGTGAGCGGGAGGGTTGTGAGCGAGAGGGTTTTGAGCGGGAGGGTTGTGAGCGGTAGGGTTGTGAGCGGTAGGGTTGTGAGCGGTAGGGTTGTGAGCGGTAGGGTTGTGAGCGGTAGGGTTGTGAGCGGTAGGGTTGTGAGGGGGAAGAGGAATCGCTGTGAGGTGAGAAGGGAGAGAAACAAGATTTACGGACTGGACAAGCATAGCACACCAGAAGACTTGCCATAGGGGAGCCGTTTGGGAGAAACGACAGTGTATGCCTGGAAGCAACTCACCGGCACCAGAGCTGGTATGTTCTTGGTATGTCGGTGAAATTGATCTGCTGCACTGACTTGTGGCGCTGCGGCTGCAACATGGTTTCGTTCAAGGGCGGAATGATCTTAGCCACTTGCAAGGGGTCGCCTTGAGGCACGTCCAAGCCCCCCACCCCGTACAGCAGGCGCGGACCATCCATGGGGTTGACGTCATAGACCTCAAGGGAACGCTCCACGACTGCAGTGCAGCAGCACGAGGGGCACGCTCTGCTTTGGTTAGCACAGCGCAACAAGCGTGTGACGGGAGCAGCACGCAGCGCAGGCAACCAGCATCTAGGCAACTTGCATGACATACAGCTCAATGAATGGAAATGCCATTCTTAAGCCATCCCTAAGTCGGTGGAAACGTGGACGCGAATGCACTAGGGGAACACAAGAAGGGAAGGTGGTGGGCGCCTTTGAATCTCATCAGTGAAAATTCTCGTGCCCTACTGAGTACTTCGTTGTGCGAAAACACTAACAGCCTAGTTCCTGAAACGGTACCAATCCCCCCCCCACAACATTACTGAAAAAAATCAAGTCACGATTGGTGTTGGTAATTACTGCACAGCTTGCTCATTGTCACCACGGCCAACCGCACTGCACACCTTGTCGGAGCACTTCAAGAATGATAGATTCGGCGAGACGATCAAAGTCCACCGATACCGCCATGCCGCCCATGATCACTGCCTGCCTCTCTGCCCACGGCGCTGCTGCCGTCACGTTGCCCTTGAAGATCGGGAACATCATGGCTGGAGCATGAGAGGAGAAAGAGAGTCGACATGAGATGAAATGGACAACCAAATGGAAAGAGGTGAAATTGGGAGATGGGGAAGCGAGGGCGAGATAGAAACACAGAAAGCAACGAGAAAGCGCGAGGGACAGGAGCGAGAGAGGGATGCAGAGAACACCAAGGAGAGACACATGCCAACATGCTTGGGAAGAGGAGTGCCCACTCCTCATGCAGTCAATCATACGCCTCTGCACCCGCTCGCTCACCCATGCCGGGATGGCCATTGTTTAGAAAATAGGGCGTGGTGAGGATGGCTGCACCCGTGATCTTCATGCGCGTCAGCTCCGGCCCGTACGACGGGTGCAGGTGGCCATCGGAGCAAGTCGTGCTGTTCTCAACCAAGGGGAAGGGGCCCTGCTCGTCGAACCAGAAGCGCATGTCCATGTACCAGTCTGCGGGTGGGGCAGGCCTCTCCTGCATGTCCCCCGGTGTGCACCCCATTCGCCGCTCAAAAACCGCCCTGCAGGACATGCCACGAAATGCCATGAAGGGAGGGGAAACATGCGGGAAACATGCGGGGAACTGTAAGTCGAAATTCCGCAGCTCTGCTTCGCACCGGATCCTGTTTGTAGTCGACCATTTCTCACTCAATGCGCTCGAGGTGGTCCAAACCAAGCCGAGGTTGTAACTCGAGGATTCTCAATGCCGATGAATGCTCAACGGGTTTGGATTGATGAGGGCTCAGGGGTCTGGCGCCGAACCAGGCAAACTACTGTAGTTCGAGCCGAACCTGATCTGGTTTGTCCAGCATGCCAAATATAGGACGCAGTTGGGTTCAAGGCGCAGTGGTATGATTGTATTGTTGTAAGCACACACGCACGCACGCACTCAACCTCTCACCTAAATAACGCAATGGTGGGGCAGTGAAATATCATTTGACGCTTCACCTCGCCCAGAAAGTGACGAAGCTCATGGTACGCATGGGCACTGGCCCGAGCCAATACCGCTGGTCATCACCTCGGCCCATCGATAGGTCGAGCAAAGCGATTCCACTTTGCCAACTTGTCACAAATCGACCCGCCGGCCGGTTCATCAACTCGCCTGTCAGTCAGAATCAACCAGGCAGCTTCCGGCTTGTCCGGATGCGGAAACGTATAGATTCGATTCGACCCAGATCCATCCAGCAGATCCAACTTCCGGCTTGCGTGAAACCGGCAGACAAAGACAAGCCGTACCGGCAGACAAAGACAAGCCGTACCGGCTCACCCTGGCTCAGGCGGCATGCCTTAATGGACGAGGCACAAGCCCGCCTTCTCACCATCTCGGCTCGTCGAGCCAAGTCTCTAGCTCGTATTATTCGTTGGGATATATCCCAGCATGCAGTCCGCAGCAACACATGCAAGGAAACACTCAAAACAAAGTCGGCGAGAGATGTGAACGGGGGACGGGAGCGAGGGAGGGCACGCGGGAGGCAAGAGGTGGCGCATGGGAAGAAGGTGACGGAAGTGTGAAGGCGAGAGTGAAGGCAGCAGCAGCAGCAGGTTTGAGGGCGGGGGGAGGGGGGGGAGGCGCACCTGTCAGAGCCGTTAACAAAGGCTCCGTAGGCAATGGCGTGCACCCAGGGGCGGGCGGCCTGCATGCGGAGAATGTAGTTGGCAAAGAGCCGCTGAGTCAAGTTGTTGTGCGCCCCCCATGGGTCCTTTTGTATCCTCCCAAACACCATCACCAACCCCTCTACCGCCTGCACGCATGTGTGGGTGGTTTGGGTTGGGTGGAGTGGGGTGGGGATGGATGGGTGGGTTATACTTGTGGAGATGAGCTGGGTGAGTGAGGAGCGGTGGTGGTGCAACGAGGCACGGAAGCATGTCACAGGGTGATGGTGGCAGAGGGTGATGGTGTCACAGGGGGCGCCTGATGCACGCATGGGAATGCATGGGGGGGCGCATGGGTTGACACATTAGGGGCTGCATGGTGGGGAGTATGTGAAGAATCATGGGGACGGAAATGGAGGAGCACGAGAAATGCACAACCACCTTCCCACCACCCCGATTGCCCCTTCCCTGGATCTTTGTTAATCTAGTGATTTCCTTTTACCCACCCGACTCTTGAGTTGCGACGACGAAGGTTTTATACTGGAAAAACAACACATTTTTACGAGAGGTGTACATTATTTGAAACGTTACTACAACTATCTGTCTTTATAGCTTTCTTGTTATCCTACCCCCGACAAACTAAAATCACCAAAAACAAATCCGCGCCATGAGTCGAAACCCATTTCGAGAATGACGGCAGAGATCACGTCATGCTTTCCAAGGCAGTGCGAGGAGCAAACGGTGGAAGGACGGGAACGCTGAGCGCGCGGGAGCAACCGCGGAGGGAACGAGGAAGCCAAGGGATGATTCTACTATTGCGCGGCGCGAAAATGAACCTCCGTCACTGACTACGCACCGAACGTGTGCAACGCAATGCAATGAAGCCAAAGCGACGCGACGCAGTGCAATGAAGCCGAAGCGACGCGACGCAATGCAATGAGCCGAAGCGACGCGACGCGATGCAATGAGCCAAAGCGACGCGACGCGATGCAATGAGCCGAAGCGACGCGACGCGATGCAATGAAGCCGAAGCGATGCGACGCGTTGCAATGAGCCGAAGCGACGCGACACGATGCAATGAAGCTGAAGCGACGCGATGTGATGCAATGCAGGTACCTACACGTGGTTGGCCACGGACATGAACTGCTAGGAATGTCACACGGCACACCATACCTTTCGCCTACTAGTAGTACTACACGTGCCAGATGGTCGTCGATCTACCGCGTGTCGACCGTCTGCTACCTTAAAGTGGTCGGACGTGGATATGAACTGCTGCTGCAGCGGGCGCGCGCGACCGGCGCACCAGGTGTCGAGCTCCGCCTTGCGATTGTCGTCGAAGCCCTTCTGCACCCTCCACGCCAACAGCCCCGCCAGCACGCCCGCAAGCCCCATCCACACCGCCACCTCCGCTGCCATACGCGCTATCATCTTCAAAACTTTTGCACACCACCGCTAGCCTCGTTCACTATTAGTGTTATGTGCTTTGCACAGGAGCCAAACACCAGATTGGTGTGTCCGACTCCTTTCGCGTACGGTGTGGAAAGTACCCTTCAGAAATGGAATCCTGGCGTGTCGATTCCATAACACTTGGCGCATCTTCATTCCCCTGTGGCGTCTCAGTTCGGTGCAGTTGGGTGCCGCATGTCTCTCCCAATCCAAGTGTTGCACCAGATCATCGCCATGGCTCTTTTTTATTATCGTCGCCCACAATGCTGGGCTAGGAGATATGACTGTACAGCATCCCCCAAGCTTTCCTATGATGCAGAAGGGACCACACGTGAGGAACCTGCCAAAACTGCCAGAAACCGTCCTTGCACGGTGGTACTACAATCGGTGCTCATTACGAGAACACCAGGTAGTCGAGCAGCATCGGACTGAAACGTGTTTTGGTGTTTCGTTGACCTTCTCTTGTGTCCCGACCAGCAAAAATAGGAATATATGGAAACTAAAAATGCTTCTGTAACTCAGTCAACAATTCTGACGATGAACGCGAGCAAACCTTGTTGTTTATGACTTGTAGATGTCGGCTTCCGCAAAAACGTTCACGCGTGATCATTGTACCTCATTCTTCTGCGATAAGGATGAGCATCGACTGTAGCGAATCTTGACGATTTGTACAAGATATATGTTCAAAATCGGAAAACAATTGAGCCAAGAGGAACGAAATAATCGAGCTGCTATACGTAAATATAATGTTAAAAGAAATACAAGCATAACAAATTAATAGTACCATATTCCCCAAAAAGGTTGGTTGCGTGGGATTTTATTTGTGTCACCTGGTTTAGTGCATTAAAAAAACCAACTTCATAGTTAATGCAACATATTTATGAATTTTTTTTTATTCACGCTTGTTGTTTTACTTTCAATTACGGTAGGAAAACGAGGTCCCATGCTCTGCGGCACTACAGGGTCTTGAATTGTTAAGATGGGACATTGATGGCTTTGCGGAAGCGTTTTAGGACCGTAGTGTAACTAGAATTGGACTCGTAGAGAGTTGTGTAAGACTGAGCGCATGCAAATGTGAAATAATCGAAGGTTGAATATGAGCACAATGTGTCAAACTATATACATATTTATTAGTTATATGCTGCACTGGGGTAGCCCATATAGGGTTAGTACTTGTACAATTCCTTCCTCATGGTCAAACATTCTTTTGCCTATTATCTTAACATGGTATCAAAGGCTAGGTTAGGTCCAATTGCTGTACCTACTGACGTACCTACTGCCATACCTAGGTTAGGTCTGCCCCACGCTGCCCCTCGGGCGCTGCCTTTTGCATGCCTCGCACTGCCGCGCGCGCCCCTAGCTGTCCCGAACGCGCTGCCCTGCACGCGCCCTTCCCGCCGCCCTGCGCGTTGCCCTCCGCGCGCCCTTCCCGCTGCCCTGTGCGCCGCTGCTGCCCGTGCACCGCACGCTGCCCTGCCCTGTGCGCTCGCGCTGCGTCGTGCGCTCGCGTTGCCCCCCGCGTTCGCCCTACCGCGCGCGAAGCCCTTCGCGCTTCCTCGCGTGCGCCACCACCGCTGCTCGCGTGCTGCCCCTGCCTCGTGCGCCGTTGCTGCCTGGCGTCGCCGCGCTGCTGCCCCATGTGCCACCGCTGCCCCGTGCGCCTCCGCTGCCCCGTGCGCCCTTGCTGCCTTGCACCATCGCGGCTCAGGCGCGGTCGCTGCCCCGCGCGCCGCCGCTGCCCCGTGTGCTGCTGCTTCCTGGCACCGCCGCTGCCCGTGCGTCGCTGCCGTGCACTGCTGCCCCGTGCGTCGCTGCTGCCTGGTGCCACTGCTGCTTGGCGCCCCCCGCTGCTCGTTCGCCGCTGCCACGCCTCCGCTGCCCTATGCGCCGATGCTGCTTGACGCCGCTGCTGCCCCGTGCGCCGCCGCTGCCTGGCGCCGCCGCTGTCAGTGCACTACTGCAACCCGTCTGCCACACCACCGTCGTTGGTGCCCTTGCGCAGCTGCTGCCCTTGCACCGCCATTGCTGCCTGTGCGTTGCACCGTTGGAGGTGCCACCGAAGCGCCGCATCGTCACTCCTGCCGCCCGTGCGCGGCTACTACCCGTGTGCCGCACCACCGCCACTCCCGCCCTTGCGCCACTGTCGCTAAGCAATGCTGCCTATCATGGCGGCGCCTACCGTACCGACCTTTTACGCAGAGGGACGACCGATCGAATACGAGTCCTAGCTTCTAGACCTTCACTCGTACCTGCAGAGTGTTACCAAGGACGATGCCTCGCTTTTTTAGCACACGTCGGGGTCCCTATCTGCCCCATCTGAGTTGACTGACACCTGGCTCTACCGCTACTGAGGCTCTGCGGTAGCAGTTTAGGATTGATCGCATTGCCCATACACAGTGGTTAGCACGCGACGCCACTGCCCAACTTGCAGTCTGCTCTCACCTCCCGCCCGACCATAGGTCCCACTTTCGCCAGCTGAAAACGGACTCTAAGTGCAACTCCTCCTCCTCTTCTGCCACCCTAGGACTCCTTGCGCTGCCGTTTCCCTTCCCAAGCTGTCTGACTTCACCACTGTAGCCGATCTCATGACTCATCTGCGCTCCCTTGATACCTGCTAACGTGTTGCTCTTAATCCGGAGTTTCTGGCTGAAAACCAGCCCTCCATGTATCTCACTCTCTACCTCCTCACGACTCGCCTCCCTGACTCTCTTCGTGCCTTTCGAGACCACTTCCTCTTCCTAGACCCCACTGTGCTCACCCTTGCCTCGCTTGAGTCCCGTCTCCTTGAGGCCGAGACCAGTGCCTGCGCTGTAGCTGCCTCCTGTGGTACTCCCCGCCCCTCATTCTTTGAGGGGTTTTCCCCCTCCCTTCTCGCGCCTGCTATTGCCTCTGCTGGCCTGTTGACTTCCTTGGGGGACGTCGGTGCTGCGTCTGCACCTAGTGGGAGGTGTCGCGGCAAGGGTGCTCGTCCTAGGGGTTGGGGCGGTGGAGGTGGTGGAGGGGGCGATAACGGTAGCAGTGGCGGTGGTGGTGGCAGTGGCGGTGGCGGTGGTGGGGTTAGTGGAGATGGCGGTGGTGGTGGAGGTGGGGGGAGGTGGTGGAGGCGGTGAGGGTGGTGGGGTTGGTGGAGGGGGCGCGGGGTGGCGGTCGGGGTGGAGCTGGCAAGGGTGGAGGCTAGTTCGGCTACCAGAGGAACTGCAACTGGTGAGGACGGCGGTTCTGGGGGTGGATAGCAGCAGCAATCACGTTGGCAGGAGACCCTCTCACCGCAGCCTCCATGAATGGGTTGCCTAGCGAGGCGGCCCCGGAGGCGGAGTACGTCCGACACACGGTTCCCCGCCCTGGAGAATTCTGCGGCAGGCTGGGGCACACTGAGGATCGGTGCTTCTACCGCCTCGACAACGCCTTTCACGCGGAGTTTGGTGAGCAGGCCAAGATTCGTGACTGGTTAGGATTGCTCAAGAAGGGCGTAGATGTATATTTTCTTGATTGGGACCAGATGTCTGGTGGCATGTATGCTATGTATGCTGCCAGTGCTGAGGGTGACTATTGTTCTTGTGTGCGTAGATCTGGTAGTGTAGAGGCTGCTAGAGTAGGTGCTTGTGAGACTATTAACACAGGTGCAGTTCCTACGAAGACTTAGCTCACCTTTACATTGGACTCCGGCGTATCTTGGTGCTTCTTCCGCGATTGCATCAAAGTCACCCTGCTCCCGGCACCCGTCCCTGTCACCGTGGCCGACCCCTCCTTTTGCTCGATCATTTCACGCGGGTCCACTGTTCTCCCATGTCCGGCGGCCCCCTCTGGCTCCCTCACGGGTCTCCACCTCCTCTCGATCGCTACGAACTTGGTGAGAGAATATGATGGTCACCACCACCACACCTGGGGGCGAGCGTGTGGCGATTTGTACTGACACGGAGACTAGAGACCATCTTGCCACTTATACATGTAGGCCTGGGACTGGACTAAACACACTGCACACTAAGTCTGCTTAGGTAGCTGCGCCTTGCTCGTGTCAGTTGCTCACGCACCCGTCCCTCCTCTGGCACTACCATCTTGGTCACCCCTCCCTGTAGCATATACACGCATGCACTTGTGTCTCCTTGTCTCTGGCGTCCCGCGGTCCCTGCCCCCGCTCCCGCTAATCGCGGCCCAAATCACGTCGGTACCCCCCCCCCCCCCCCCCCTCCCCCCCCCCCCCCCCCCCCCCCCCCCCATCTTCTCCCTCCGGAAATCGCATCAGGGTGGTACCCGAGAGTAGTCTTTATCATCAGGGCGAGTGCATAAGGCCTGTCTGAAGTATCATTGTAAAAAAAATAATCATATTTTCTTTTTCCGTTTAAGGGCGCCTCATAAAACAACTCTGTAAAACAAGGGTGAACACCTATACCTCCCCTTATAGTAAGGCCATAAGGGTGTTTCACCCTTATATTCAGAGGCATGCAAGCTACCGTTTGCATGTTTGCCTATACCGTATATTGCTCGCTCATGCCTTTGCTTACATTGTACTACTTTTGATTTTGCTTTGTTGCATAATGTTACGAGTGCAATTGAGTGAGCGAGCGAGAATTGCACTATCGAAGCAAAAGTACAATGAGCGAAGGCATGAGCGAAGAACATATAGCGAAACTATATTGGTAACGGTAATGTGTGAAAATTGGGGTGCGAGACGGGCCTAGCGCCGAGGTTGGGAAATGTCGAGGCGGTAGGTCCGGAGCGCCGGTTACCAACCGAACCGTGAGATTGGGTCGCGCCGTGAACAGTGGAGGGAACAGTGTCGAGGCGAATGTCGCGAGTGGTAACGGTTTTACTGTTGGGTGCTGTTGGCGGGAACAGTGGTGTACGCGCTGAGCAGGGACGCGAAGTAAGGAAAAGGAATTTTCCTTACACTACCCCCCCCCCCTAAGGAGGCCCTCCTTACGAAAGCGCGTGTACATCCCGGAAATTCCGGCTGCGCAGATACTCGGTGAGGACGGGGTGGTTCTCAATCCTGTCCAGGGGAACCCAGTTGTCTTCAGTGGGCGTTCGGTCTTTCCAGCGGATTAGGAACTCGATCCTTCGAGCTCCTCGTGGGTCACGAACTCGGTGGCTCAGAATTTTCTCGGACGTGATGATTGGCTCTGTCGGCGGTTGAGTCATGCTGGTTGGGCGGTTGCGGGGCAGTTGGCTGGTGGATGGTACGTAGGGGCGGAGCAGGCTGACGTGGAATGACGGGCTGACGTACTAGTCAGCGGGGAGGAGGAGGTGGGCGGTGACGGGCGTAATCATGTGGCTGATGCGAAATGGCCCACAATATCAGGGGCTGAGTTTTGGGGTGATGGGCAGGCGGATGTTCTGAGTGTCGAGTAAGACTAGGTCGTCGGGCTGGTAAGTGACAGGTCGGGGGTGGCGGTCAGCGTTGCGTTTAGCGATAATGTTTGACTTTTAAATCGCGTCTGCTGCTCGGGTCCGTGCTGCTTGTAGAATTTCAGCGAATCGTTGTGCCCGTGGCACCGGGTTGTCGGGATACTAGGTCATGGGTACTGTCTGGTCTTGTCCGTAGTTCAGGTAAAATGGTGACTGTTGGGTCGTGGCGGATGGCGAGTTGTTGCATGCGAACTCGATGAGTGGCAGCTGCTGTTCCCAGGTGGTCGGGTCGTCGCACGTGGCTCGTATGAGTTGTTCCATGGTCTGATTTGTCCTTTCTGTCTGTCCGTCGGTCTCTGGGTGGTACGAAGAACTAAACTGTAGTCGCGTGCCGAACTGCAGCCACAGGTTCCGCCAGAAGGTGCTGGTGAATTTCGTGTCACGATCGCTGATGATTGCTGCTGGTATCCCGTGTAGTCGAACGACGGTGGCGATGAAGAGGCGGGTTGTTTCTTCTGCTGTGATCGATTACTTGCAGGCTGCGAAGTGTGTCATTTTCGTCAGCCGATCGACGACAACCAGGATCGCGTCGTTCCCACTCGCTCCGGCCGGTAACCCCTTGACGAAGTCCATCGTCACCTGCTGCCAAGCATGCTCTGGGGGTGGTATCAGCTGCAACTGTCATGCCGGCCGCTTCCGTGATGATTTCATGAGCTAGCAAGTGGGACACGATGCCGCGTGTCGCTGTACGTCGGTCAACATTTTGGGCCAGTAATAATACCGTTGCAGCTGCTGCCGTGTTTTCTCTACCCCAATATGTCCCGATGTAACTCCGTCGTGTGCCTCCTGTAGCAGTAATTCCCGTAGTAGTGAATACCCCGGTACCCAGATGTGGTCGGTGCCGGCTTTTACGTAATAAACTCATTTGGCTGCTGTGAACTGCTGCGAATTTCCTCCTGTGATGAATGGATCTGTTTGATACCCATGGGTAAATAGTCCTGTCAGTAGTGGGCTGGTTTGGGCAAGTAGTATCGCATGGATCTGGGCAATGGGGCGGGTCAGTGCGTCGGCGATGTTCGATTGCCCCTTTTTGTAGGTGACTGTGTAGTGAAAATTGGACTTGAGGAAATTGAGCCAGCGGATCTGTCGTGGGTTGAGGTGTGGCTGTGCGCAGAGGTACTGTAGTGATTTATGGTCTGTCGGTACTGTCACGTCTGCGCTGGTCAAGTAACAGCGCCACACTTTGAATGCGTGCACGATCTCGAGCATTTCGCGGTCGTGTATCGGGTAATTCTTCTCAGGCGGATGCAGTTTTCATGATTCGTATGCGATGGGCTATAGGCCGTTGCCGAAGTCCTGTAGCAGTATGGCTCCGATGGCGATGTCGCTGGCGTCTGTAACTACTTCGAATGGTCGGTGTGGGTCGGCGATGCGCAGTACGGGCGGTGAACAGAGAACATTTTTCAGGGTAGAGAAGGCAGCATGCTCTTTCTCCCCCCACGTAAAAGCGACCCCCTTGCGCAGTAAGTCTGTGAGTGGTGCTGTTAAGCGTGCCATGTTGGGGACGAACCGACGCACATAATTTACGAACCCCAAAAAACTCTGCAGCTCCGTGAGATTCGTCAGGGGGTGCCACGCTTTTACTGTGTCCAGCTTCTTTGGGTCAATTTCAACCCCAGCCTCCGAAATAACGTGCCCCAAAAACTCTAGTCTGTCCTGAAAAAACTCGCACTTGGAACCCTTCGTCTGTAGCCGGTTCTCGTCTAAAATTTTAAACACTGCTTCCAGATCTGCTAAGTGCTGCAGCTTGTCGCGACTGTAGACGAGGATGTCGTCGAGGTAAACTATCACACATCTATCTAAAAATGGCCTAAACGCCTCGTTTATGGTCATCTGAAATGTCGCTGGTGCGTTGGTCAGCCCGAATGGTGTCACGGTGTACTCGAATGACCGGTTGTCAAAATCAACAA